GGTGAACTTCGCACCCTCTATCCCGCATTGACTTTATTACATGTCCTTTGCGAGTTAGCACTGAACTAATATTTGCGTTATCCAACCGCGCTAACATTTACCATCCCCTCGATACAAATGTATGGATAGAGCTGTTAGTGCTTAATTTTAATGTAAATATAGTATAATGTCATCTATTATTCGGAATATTCGCATTTATGTTTTCTTTCATCTGACCGACAGAAAAAAAACTAAACATATCACAGGGGTATCACCCTACGAACTGAAAGTTAGAAATCCTTTTAATGTCCCACCGCTGGGCCTGGGTCTCCCCTCAATACGAAATGGGATCAAACCATAGGCCATCACACTAGGTAAGAGCGGCAGACGTACTCTACATGTCTTCCGATAACGTGCTAGGTTCTTTTAAATATGCAGGTATCCTTGCAATTTTTTCACCATTTTAACATTTAGTATTCACGTTGAAAATTATTCGCACATAAAAACGTAACCTATATGAACCTATATTCGAACCCGCTTCTCTTGGTTTTCCAAGCAACCACATTACCACTGCTAGTATCTTAATTACTATTATTAAGCTTTAACGGAGAGAAACATAAAGATAAGCGCTAAAGCACTACAAAGAGTACACTGAACATAATCCGGATACAGCGGAGGGATTTTATTTCGAAGAAGGAGTCAATATCGAATATCTTCGGCGCTTCTCAATTACCCACACTAGCTAATGTGTTTGTTGAGAGTGACCTTTTTATTTTGTATAAGCCATTTTCAGACGCACTTAACTATATTAAAGCTATTTATATTATTTTATATTTAAAGAAGTTAGTATAAAAACATGGTTTACATAATATAGATAAATTTTGGCTTAAAATCTATATAATTAAACACAAAAAACTTGAGTTAGTCACACCATTTATAACTCAAGAACGGCTGGTCCGATTTCTGTGATATTTAATTTGTTGGATCTATCTCTGCCCTGAAAATCAGAATAACTATTGAAATATCGGAAAAATTCACAAAAAAATTAAATTTACATAGCTAACGCTGGCTATTAACTATTTATATATATTTAAAATGTACCTAGTAATGCACCCGAGCGAAGCGGGGCTAAGTCGCTAGTCTCACATAAAAGAGATCTTTTACTAATCAATAATAAATATAACATTTATATGGGCTATTTTGATGAATAAAATGATTTATAATAGTACAGTATAAATGTGTTATTTTTTAAACCGACCTTCTAAGACGATTGTATCACTCACTTTTTAGACATCACAATATGTTTCTAAGTCTATATATAGTATTTCTTACATAATCAATGCTAAAGCGATGCGAGGCTTCACCACGTAACAACGGATTAATAATAAATAATAAATAAATATGTTGGGACATTAACACACAGCACCATCTAGTTCCATAGTAAGCTGTTATGGATACCAGATAGTTGATACACTTCACATACATAACTTTAAATATAGTAATTATTTGTGCAAATTGAAGAGACATAAGCTACAAATTGTAACAACATAAAGCCGCTACTTGGAAAACTGTTAGATTAGCCTTCTATGTTTTAGCTTTACAATTCCCCGCTGCCGTCCCGACAGATATGACAGGAATTTGAAGTTATTATATTTAATTCTGAAAAGATTTCAAACTAAGTTTAATGTTAATTATTAAATTAAGTTAAAATTAGCTTTACTTAAGTTTCTAACTAGTATAATTGAATTAAATTATATAGGAAAAGCTAATATAGGAAAAGCTATTTATATAAAGACCAAATTGATTTATAAACTTATAAGTTACTAGAACTTCTTTCTTGTGAAGTCGGCTGAACGATATCGTCACTTGCTCATAATGATATAAACAACAAGTAATTTCCTACATCCATAAACGCAATGTACGTAAATAAGTAAAAAACGAACTCTGCTGATAACGGAGGTGATGTATGGCGTCGCGGGACCACGCGGGACGCCAGGCGAAGGATCCACTCAACATTTCCAATGTATTTGCCAGACAATATTTGTAACAGCATATATGTACATACATGTTTATCGCTTTTCAGTTTTTTTTTTATAATGGTTTATAGTTCAGTATTAGTTACTTCTCTACATTAAAAAAATATCATTTTTTTCAATTATTTTTACTTGTAAATGTTTTGTAAGCTTTCTTACTTGATGGCGTATATCTGTAAAGAGCTCTCTCTTTATTTTTATCTTATTTTATTGTTTAGTTTATCTGTATTTTTACAGTGGTAACTTACAATCTTGCAAGTTACCACTGAAAAATACTCTACGTAGATCTCATGTAGAGTATTTTTAATAATCGTCTGAAATCGTAAAAATCGTGAATCATCTATCTGTCAGTGAAAGTCCGTTAAAAACGATAAAATATTTTTTATTCATTATTAAAAGAATCATATGTCACTGTCAGCTAAGTACTACATTCATCTGTGAAACTGTTAAGATTGGTTTCATCCTATGCGAAGATTTTTTAAATTCTAACATAATTATATTTTTTAATTAATGTAGGCTTTATAGTATTGTTCAAACAACTACAGCTCAATATGGGAAATTACTTTCAAATGTCAGACTGACATTTATCTTTTACCTATACATATAAAAAAATTCTGAGTCGAATCTATACATCAAATATTTTTTGGAAAATCTTATTGAAATTATTATTATTACCGATACAGAGACGGAATTTTAATTAATTTGGTATGATGATAGCTGGTTATCCGGGTGAAAATATAGGATACTTTTTGCTGCAAGAAAATATCTCATCTCTGAGAAATCTATACTAAACGTTAAAACGTAACTAGGGTCGAACCAATTTACGATTATTAAAGAAACATTACATATACATACGTTGAGACATTTAAGGTACGACAATTTTACAATAAATATGACAAGAAATAATTTTGAAAACTATTTTCACTTAAAACTTGAATATATTTTATTGGATATTATTAGAAAACCCTTCAAGAACGGAAAATAAAACATAACAGGAGTATCATTAGCATGAAGTACTATAATATTAGTAATTGCGCACAGCATCTTGAAATATAAACGAAAGGTTCAATTTACATTTGAAATGGTCTCAAAAGCTAATCAGAAAAATGTTCATACTTTTATTTATTTATCGTGTCGTTGAATATGAGAATTAAATATTTATTTTCTAACTTATGAATAGATATTTAAATTTTTGTTATGGGGTTTTTGAGTATGTATATTTAACGATATTTTCGCTTTAATGATGATGATATTATATTGAAATACAAACCAACTTTGATGCCAAAATATTTCTTTAGACTCAAATTAATGTGAAACAAAAAGTTATACTCTCCTTGCCCCGGAGCTAAACTATAATATTTTTACAATATCTACGGAAATACCTCGTTAGATAACTCATAAAGCTTTCAGAAGATTTTAAAAGCTCAGCGCTCACAATCGATTGCTGACAACAAGCGACGTGTAAATAATGCATCAGCGAGAATCAGCCTAAAGCTCGTGAAACTTTCATAACTACCAATATTATTATGCATTTTTTTGAACCTTATACGCTTAAGAATAGAAGTCATTTTTGTTGAATTACAAGAATTTTCTTTTGTAGAACACTCGTGTAGGCCGTGCCATGAATTAAATAGAATTATTCGTAGAACTTGCGACTCTATATGTTTTGGAATGCAATACGATCTATTACGATGTTAGGTATGGGGCAATGTGGCCAGCTCGGCCTCTACGAATGTAACAGGTGCTTAGGTTTTATCACTTTTTATTATAATGAAAAAGTTATTTTAGATTATTTTTAACTAATTAAGATTTGTACAGCTGTCAATTTTTTACATCATTATCTTCAATATTTGTTATAGACATTATTAATTTTTAAGCGTGTCGATATTAAGAATATGGGAGGTAAACAAACAAAAACAGTTTTATATCCATATGTTTGTAGTTTGACAAGTCGAAGTCAGATTTACTAAAATTAGACACATTTTGAAATTACCGCATCAAAATGGTTAAAATGATAAATTTTAATACTAACCAATTTTTTTGGAGCTTACTTCCCTTTACGCTTTATTCAAACAAACACTCGTTCATTTTGCATGAAGTGAACTATAAAAGCTTACATTTATTTTAATGTAGCGATTTAATGTCCAAAAGCCTTTCCTTTATTGTATGCAAAATGCAAGGTAAAAATTCGTTAGAAGTCTCCACTCATACGTGCACGTAACGAGGCCGCGGCTGTGCTTGCTCTATTTTAATATACAACAACCCAGTTATGTTAATAAACTTAGCGTACTATGTTGCATGCAATCATGGCACTTAATGACTCGTCTTTGTATCTACTTGTGAAATATTTTAAAATTTTAATATAGTTTTAGTAAATAAGCACCGTAATAGCAACTGCTAAAGTGTGTGTTTGTATTTGTTACTCCTTAACAGATTTGGATAAACTTTAGTATTCAGACATGTTATGAGTTCGCTGATCGTTTGCCAAATATGTTTAAAGAAAAGACGATGGTTTTGTATAAAATGATACATTGAAATAAAGTCAGGGTAAGTAACTAGTTACTTATAAAGGTCAGATTTTTCATTTCTTAAAACAACCAATAAAATAAATCAGCAAGACTATTAATCATTTTCTTAGCTTTCTGTCGATAAAATCTCTTGTATTACAATTAAATACCCTGAAGGCGATCAGTTCGTTTTTCTTAATCCAAATCATAATTGCTTTGTCATTTTGAAATATCTATCTGTAAATAATTCTAAATAATCTGTATAAAATTTTGATAAATATGATAAACAACATTCAATTTTGTTATACATTTCATCAAGGGCAATGTACTGTACAGGAAATCAACTTCCTAATTATATTTTATATAATTGTACAAGCCTCAAACACAATGTGGTTAGATACAACAATAGAATAACCTGATGTTGCAAAAGAGACTATATTGGTATGGTAATAAAATAGAAATTTCATATTCGAAGTGGCGAATGTTTGAAGACAGCGCAGATGCAGCCTCCGGCGCTACGAAGGGATCAGATGTTAAATACTCTAACAGGCAGGAACAACCGAATGCGGTATGATGGTTATCTTTCCGGATATATTGTGTATCTTGTAATCAAGCAGAGTTTGAGTTCTTTATCTGGTCTGTGTTGGGTTCAAATAGCTTATTAAAGATTATATTGAAAGTATAGTCTTAATTCTTTATATCTCTAAGCCTAAGGCATCTTAATCGGTAATTACAATTGTTTCCGGTAATGTTACGTGAAATAGAAAGAATGATAACAATCAACGATAGCAATCAACTAGTAAAAGATTTAAATAAAACTATTCGGATTATTTCACGGATTTATTCAGATTTTTGGCTCCCGACGCGACGTTTCGAATGCTTTACAGCAATCATGGTCACGGGAGAGACTGAGGTGAAAAAATCCGAAAAATAGTTTTATAAAATGTCCAATATTCGCGTAAATCTAAGAAAGTATTAATAAAAGTTTGTTCAAGCTTTATTTATCAATTCCAAAGTTCTATCTATACAAATGTTAAAAACTTAAAGAGTATTTTTTTAAATATAAGTTTTACGTATACATAATATACCTAATTTCCTGTTTTGAAGTCGATTGCAACTTGTTGTTGAATTCGAAAATCCAAAATAAGTTTTGTATTACATTATCATAAAAACAAAATTCTCAAAATATATTTATACAAAATTACAAGATGGACGTCAAATTAAGTTGACAGGCTATTGAATGTTCAACAATACCCAGAAGAGTTGAATTAAGCCCCTCGCGAGCTTTACAACGAAACAACTGGCACAAAGTGAAGATGGGAGCTCACCTAAAAATAAAATATGAATATTTAATGGCTTTTCCGAACTCCGACGAGTAGATATTATACTTTTTTTATGGAACGCTCTTCAGAGTAACAGTATATTCAGATATACTGTTGCCACCATAACCCCATTAAAATTAACAAATAGGTAGATACTATATATGGTATGATCTAGGTTGCGGGATTGCACAACAACAATTTATCTTGATCTCGACGAAAAATATCGAAAATTCATTCGAAATTGGAATATTTTACAGCCAATTTTATCTATCTAATGCAAATCAAATCAAAGTATGCTTTATTCGTGACATACTCTCGCTTCGTTCGGGTGCCTTTTGCGACTTGATATGTAGGTATAAAAACATGGACTTTTCTTGATATATAATATTACCTTTTTTACAAGAAACAAATATTTACGTTTTGACAAGCGCCACCTTTTGGCAAAATTTATTACTAGCATCAGTCTAAATGTTATAAGCAATCTACACACTAGAAATAAAAAAAAAACAATGTTATTCTACAAAATATGCAGTTACAGTTAAGCCACAGTTAAGGACAATGATTGCTAGTATTATGTATAATATAATTACATTTAAAGGTCAGTAAAATCTTTATTGCTTTGAACCAACATAATATTAGATTTTACGAGCGGGCATAAAGTAAAGCGGACTTGTATCGAATAAAAACGGTTTACATCAAACGAAATCCAATCAGGAGCGTCCGAGGGGCGTCGTAAAGCCACGCTGCGTTCGGTTGCAGTCGGATACAACATTTCAATTTACGAAATACAGATAGTATCTACATCCTGCAGAAGCCGGACACATTTTTAATTGCAAAGTCTATAATGAACAATTGTCTACCTAGAATTTTGCACGTGTTTGAGTTCCTATTTTGAGCCATATCCCTTGAAATTCTTTAAATATTCTAAATCAAATAAATTAATGTATGTTATGAGACTATTCATTGATATACATATCATAGACTCCAGTAATTTTCGACTAATGCTGCTAATAAAGAGAAAAACAAAAATTGTTAAATATTCTGATAAAAATATCCTTTAAATAAGATTATAATTATATTTTATTATACTATATTATAAATATAACATAATATAATTTATAATTATAAATTATATAATTATAAATTATATTATATTAATATTATTTTTTATTTTATTATTTATTATATATTTTATAATAAATAAAATTAATAATGTCAATGTCAAATTTTGTCATTTTGTATTTATATTTAATTGTATAATTATATTGTATCATATTATATCCACATCATATTATTACAAAGATAATATAATTACCAAAACAGCATGTATCTGTCGACCGACCACCACCCGCCCCAGCGCCGCTACGTCCTGCAAAACAAATATTTTCTTCATGAGAAAAGAGAATTCATAATCTCTAACACAATGGACTTTCTCTATTAGATACTTTGAATATTACGCCTCGTATGTATGTTAATTATGTCACATAAATTGTTTAATACTTTCTTAAATTTTTTGGATTATTTCGCGAATTTATTTTGATTTTTCGTTCCCGACGTGTCGAATGCTTTACAGCAATCATGTTCACGGGAGAGACTGAGGTGTTAGATGTCTCGAAGGTATAGTTGGTACAGGTAGCCTACCCACAAATAACAAAATGAAAAAACACTATTACTATATACTTTTATAAATGAAACATGAAAAATATTAATCTGAAATGCTATCATTTTTATCTACACAGTAAGAACTTACTACATCTACCTGTCTGTTATGTTTAGATTTATTATTTGATTTTATTATATTATGCCCCATCCTCGTGGGATCCTGTTATTAATATGAATCAGCCATTTTCAAGCGATGAGATAAAAAAAACCCTCAAAGACTCACAAAACCTATTAACATCATGACCTTTAATTTATGCTAAACAATTAAATAAATTTTAGATTTGTATAGGTATATAACATATGTAGAACCCCTTATTTTACGAGTGTAACGTGTATAAATATTCATATCTATATCCAATGATCCTAAAAGTGTATGAGAATGTAGCAATATTCACGTTAGCAAAGTTTTTACGATGCGCCATTATTTCATGACACCAGAGATGGCAGATTAGAGGATCATAAACGATGGGGATTGAGCCGCGGCTCGGCGACGTCAGGCGCGGCCTGTGCGCTTTCTTATGCCTTATAATGTTATCCATACTAATATTATAAATGGGAAAGGGTGTTGGTTTGTTTGTCCTTCTTTCACGTCGAAACAGAGTGACAGGTTGGCGTGATTTTTACTGTGGAGATAGTTAGAGAGCTGGAGGGTGACATAGACTACTTTTTGCCGCCGGAGATTATCTCATTCCCTCGGGAAAATACGGTATAATATATATAACCCACAACAACTCATCATACCTATATGTAATACTAGCACTGCCCGTGGCTCCACCCGCGTTTAGATGACCAAAAATTAAATTCCTAGGTTTTACATATTAGTAACTCTTACTGCAAAAGTCAAAAACTGCAATAGTTTTTGTATTTTTTCTCAAAAATGAGATATTTTCCCGCAGTAAAAAGTATCCTATATGTTGACCCGGATAACCAGCTATCACCATAACAAATTTCATCAAAATTCCTGTAGTGGTTTTTCTGTGATGCGTTAACAGACAGACAGACAGACAAACATTCTAAAAACTATAGATTCGGCCTCTATCTATCGATAATAATGTTTATTTCAATAAGATTTTCCAAAAAATATCTAATATACAGATTCTGCTCAGTTAGAATTTTATTATAGGTATGCACACTATATCTATATAGTGTATCTATTCCGTACTAACCGTCAAAAAGCACACAGGGTATAAGCCGAGCGAAGCCAGGGTGATTGGCTAGTATTTAATATATGTATGTTATATCTTATATTTTTTAATAATAAGAGAGACTAAAATTTCAGAACCAAATATCAACAAAACATATTTCTTAATATCCATTTTTGTACATTTTATTAAATAGATATTTTTTAATATTACTTTTCAAAATTATAACGAAATATAAAACATGTTTATACTCGTATATTATTCATATTCTTTATAGAGATTTCTCTCAGCATTCGTTCTTTTTGAAATGTTAGAAGTTGAATAGAATTCATTTATTTGCGTTTTACGTCTGTTCGTCCGTCCGTTTCTAGACTATCTAATTGTTAACATTTATTTTTTACGTCCAGTATATTTGGACAAAATAAAGTATATATAATAAGTATATATTCCGTATAGATACGATATTTTAGTTTAAAATTCATCAGGTGGTGCTGTCTTTAAGGGTACGAGTATTTATTGATTGCTGGCGACTTCCCCTCGCTTTGCTGAATGCGTGCCTAAGTACCTTACTCCAGGTCATATTCTGTGTGTATTAAATTTCATCTTAAGCCGCCTTTACACGTTTCACCGTAAAACATTGACACACATACAGACTTATACTATTACAATAGTGTTTGATTAATTATTATTAATTTGTCAATTTGACCTATGATTTATTTACTAAATGGCGCTAGCGAGATATACTCGTAGATCGCACTAGACGTTTTTGAACTAGCACGTGACTGTACAATGTAAAAAGATTTCGCTCTAACATTATTCTCAAATTTCACATTTATAATATTATAAGGTCAATGAAAACCCTTTCGAAGGCGAGCTTCTTACATGACTCCCGTCTCTGGTCGCTTGCAATTCGACCGTGGTCGCGGTCGTTTTGACCATATCACATCGCTATTTAAAACAGAAGAATCAAATTGGATCATAAGATATTATCACATTACTTAATTAATACTTCAACGAAGTATCTACGTGTTATCATTACACGGATATTGATAACGGATTATTCGATCATAAAATATTACGAGTGAGAGGGGTGTCTACGTAAGACTGCATTTAGTACACGATATTTGTAGCAATCTTATCAGATTGTATTTTAGTTTGAAATTATATGACTGTTATATCTTCCATAAAGTAGGCGATTGCAGTTGAACTTAGACGTTAATAAGCTCAAGAACAATTCTCACAAGATCTAGTCACGCCTCGTTGATTTTCTACTTCTTTTACGCAACAACGGCACAAATGATCGACGTGATATTGTTTTCTGTATAAATTGCTTTTTAAAGTATCATAATAATCATCATAATCTCTAATATTCTTATACTTATTTTTAAAAAGGATGGAAGGATGTCCTTATTCCGGATGTAAGTTTTTTGTATACCTATTCATATGTTACAAGATATCATTATAAACCGATTTTCAAGGGTGATGTGCACTCGTGGCCATGCTGCTTTAGTTTTGTTAAAAATTATTTTAAAATCACAAAAACAATAATAATTCAAATATACTTAATGAATGTCGAAATAATTTGGATGACAGACAAATTGATCTGTCTCAAAATTGGTTCCGAAGTGGATAAAAAACTTCTTGTTATTAATCATGGGGGATCAGAGTTGCCCGGCCCGAGTCCGGAGAGCGTGTAAACTTCGCAGTTTGTTGGAAGACGAATCGAGAGTGGACGCTAGAGTTTGAGCTCTACATCAATCAATGAATCCGCTTGAACGTAACTCACATGAAACATTGAAATGGTTGGATTCTAAGATAGCCTTTCTATGTTATCTATGATACTAGTTTCCCGCCTGACTCACTCAAGCGCGTCTCCACATAAGGTTTTGCAACAGATTTATATGAGAACCACGTACCTTCATAAATCCGAGGTATGATTTTTGGCATTTATTTTCCTTCATGTCTGTGGTAAACAAGAAGAAACCAATAAGAATGCTTTAGTTATAGATTTATAATACTACTTAGTATCCAATATTCTAATTTACACTAACGCGTATACACAAGGGAGTGAATACTTTACTCCGTACCATTGTAACTGACTCGAATCTGGACAATAAATATTATTTGGAAAATCTTTTTCAAATGGTCATTATTATCGATACAGAGGCCGAATCTATAGTTTTCAGAATTTTTGTCTGTCTGTCTGGGAACGCATCACGAGAAAACCACTGAACAGATTTTGATTAAATTTTGTATGATGATAGCTGGTTATCGGGGTCAATATATAGAATACTTTTTACTGCGGAAAAGTATCTCGTCTCTGAGAACGTTAAAACGTAACTAACTGTAATATAATTAAAGTAAATATTACCAAATATTATCCTTTTCACCTGTTTGGGGTCTAAGTTTAAATACTCTTTACATACAATACTTTCTTATGTCATGTTGTAAAAACAGTTTTTAGGCATAAAATTATAATTGAAATTGGCATAATATAAACAACTGTAAAACATTTTATTCTAAATAAAAAGTACACATAAAAAATAAAAGTAAATAAAAAACAAAAGTGTGATTCCGGCCAGGATCGAACTGGCGGCCTTCTGCGTGTAAAGCAGATGTGATAACCACTACACCACGGAACCGGGTAATAACGAGATAAATTATGCGAATAAAAGTCAGAGTAAATCCAAATGAAAGTTGTTTAAATTCAAACTTTCACTTGAACCTGTTACTACATATTGTAACACTTAGCTCGCTTATTATAACTCTTATTAAGTAAATTAGAAAGGAAAAGAAAAATTTGTAAACGGAAAAGATTCGTATATAGATATAATACTCGTATAATATGTGATATAATATTAACTTACTAAATGGTTAAACATAATCGAAATACTATTACGAATGTCAAAATTTGTGTGTATGTTTATATAGGGATGTTTATTTTATATACCACAAATATCCATATGTACCTACATTATGGATGTTTGTTCTTCACGCTGAGACGTCTGGACGGATTTATACGTAATTTATACATACATATATATACATACATATATATACATACATAGGTTACTGTTAGGTATCTAAGGACGCACCCGAGCGAGGCGAGGATTAGTTGCTGAGCGTGAATTTCAGCTCTTTTTAACTTCCCACGGCTGGGCACGGGCCTTCCTTCAGTACGCGGAGGATCAGGCTATAGTCCACCACGCTGGCCAATTGAGGGTTGATGATCTTCATATCTTTCGAAAACTTGCTAGGTTCTCTCAGACAAGTGGTCATCATGTTTGAATTATTTGGACATGGAAATATCAGAGGTGCCAGAACCGGTATTCAAACCCACTCACACAACACGGTTGCCACCAAGCAAGCATGTTATCACTGGACTACAACTACCTTCTAACTTAATTATATTTAAAACCTTTAATTTTGTATGTTTATAATAACTTATTGGACTAACGTCAGTCAGTAGAAAATATATTTATTGCTTCAAACTAGAATTTTAGCGAAATAAAATAGTACCGAAGCGATTTTCAATTGAATTTCTTTTTCAAGTAATCCCCGAAGTAGATTAGTGCAGCTCAGTGGTTAGTTTTCTCTCGATTCTCAGTTGATTAGGAGTTAGAGAGTGGAGTGAATGGCCGCACTCAACACGACGCTATCTGATGAGGCGTCGATTAATTGCTTGTAAATAGATCCAGCATAAAACCCTCCTTTCAATCGTTTCTTTATTACACCCAAATGTACTAAATACTTGTTAAATCCGAAAAAGTTTTACTTTGAAGTTGGATTGCTATTTTTGTAAGTTCTTTCAAAATTTGTACGTGTAATTATTTATCATAAATACGAGTACCTAGGCGAAGGAGCTTGGTTCGGCGTTTTTTTTGTAAAATCATGTTTTTTCGGAAATGTTGCGTTTTTCCAGAAATTACACCTGCATAGATAAACTTAAAAAGTAAAACCTCATATAAATACAAAATTTGATCCAAATCGTTAGAGCCATTCCCGAGATACACAAATAAATATGTAGTACCTGGGCCACCGAGCTACGCTCGGAGTATTTAGTTGAAAAGTACAATTTTCTTTAAAAAAAACTAAAAACTTGAATAAATACAAAAAATAACAAAAATAAATTACACCTTTGTATCCAACCGGGATTCGAACCGACCTATCGACCTATGATTGTCAATCTTGCGTCTTTTAAATAAAAAAATAAAAACTTGAATAAATATTAAAAAAAAAAAGTAAAACTTTGTATGCGACTGAGATTCGAACCTGGACATCTGTGATTGTTGATCTTGCACCTTGGCCGCTTGAACACGATGATATACCCGAGCGTGCAAATTACCGACCATATTTTGCGTGAAATAATGCAAAAGAAAACTGCATGAAAACTCGAAAACACGCGTTTTCCCAGACATAAGACTAATCTAGATCGATTTATCGCCCCCGAAACCCCCCTGCGTACTAAATTTCATGAAAATCGTTGGAGCCGTTTCCGAGATTCAGAATATATATTGATATATATATATATATATATATATATATATATATATATATATATATATATATATATATATATATATATATATAATACATATATATATATACAAGAATTGCTCGTTTAAATATATTAGATTAGATAGATATACAAGGATTGTTCATTGTTATAAGATTATTCCTGTATAATGTATGTGTTTTAAATATTTGTATGTTATTATTACAAAATAAACACCAATCAAATTAAATCTCAATTTCAGGGTTCGAAAGCAATAATGGAAGGCAAATATGTAAACCTCTTATTTATAATCAAATTCTAACTTAGTCAAATCTGTACATTAAATATTTTTTTGATAATCCTATTGACTTATATATATGATACAGAGGCCGAATCTATAGTTTTTAGAATTTTTGTCTGTCTGTAACCGCATCACAAACAAACCACTGGACAGATTTTGATGAAATTTAGTAGTCAACATATAGGATAAAGTCAAGAACGAGAATAAAAAGTGTTATAATAAGTCTCTACTCTGGTAAAGGAGACAATAATTTTATGATGTAAATATTGTTTTTCTTAGAAACCCTTCCATTTTAAACAAACAACAAATAAAGATTAACTCTGTCTACCTGAGTTCATGTATGTATGTATGACTACGTACGTATATGCTGACATCCATATATCTATCTAGTACTTGGCAACCTCGTAAACCCCGTTGCTCCTAATTTATAATTCATAACAGTATTGACCATGTTTATAATAGGACAACATATTGTACAATGCTAGCTTTTTTTTAAATAAAATTAAAACTTTGACTTTAACCTATGAACTATAATCTTTTTCTTCTCCCTGCCCATTCCCCAATCACTTGGGGTCGGCGCAGTACATCTTCTGTACTGCTGATAGGATTTGGCAAAAGTTTTACGACCGGCCGCCTCACGCCTGCCTGACGTCAACCCTCCTTGGGAATGCAATAGCATTGTGTATCGCGGAATTCTTGTAATATGCAAATTCGATTTTGTTTTGTTTTCTTTTAAAACATTTTTATACTTAATAGTATAAAAGTTTTAATGTAATTTTCGGATATATTTTGAAATATATTTTGATCACACAACCTATGAATTATAATGCTAGTGCGAAACCCGTAGATAATAAAATATTTAAGCTTTTTATATATGTATCTTCAGTAATTTTGTCAAATATAACCTACATAGTGTTCTAAATGTTAAAAAATACAAAAATATCAGTAGTCGGTGGCAATAGATATGTAATACGAATAGTGACCTTTTCCCTCAACCTATCGACACTATTGACAAGGGAGTCTTTAAGAGCGCGTGAATTTTTAAATATTCTCAATCAACTGAAATGAAACTTTATATTATTTAGTAACATTATTGGAAATTTAGAATAAATAATGACACTCCATTATAGGTTTCTTTCTGATTTTACTTTCTGGTTCATGATGCTACGTTTCGAATGCTTTACAACAAACTTGGTCACGGGATAGACTAGGATTTTTGACGTATTAAAATTCATAAATTATATTTTATTACTCTCGTGTAAAATTAAGAAAGTATTTAGCAAATAAATTATATTAAAGCTGGTAGGTATGTATTTTTTGGATTCTGAATACATATTATATATGGTTTGTAATAATGTAATTATAATAAAATTAAAATGGTATACATTAGGACGGTCCACTCTTAATAGCGTTCCTGGCCACAGCAGTCAGTCTCCGCTCCCACTGACGTCGACGTCACCGAGATGGATATTTGCTGCAGCTGTTTATTCATATGCGTGCATTTCGCTACTCATTTGCCATACTTTGAAAGTTTAGTATAGACATGAACGTAAACTAGACCAGGTTTTTGATTGTTTTGTTCTGTGAGAATAACTTATGGTGAATATTATTTTATATATTACCTACCTCGTCAGCATATACGGCTGCAGATCCTCGAGACCTAAGATCGAGTCCCAGATCAGGCCACGGATAGTTATTGGGTGTTTCTGTGAAGAACTTCTCATTAAGAGGTGGTAAATTGGCGGTGTACCACATTGCCTCGGCGAGCACCTCGAGTCTGCGCCTGATCTCTTACAGCGAATGTGCAATTTTTGTCTTATCGGAGTTTGAGAGTGTACGTGTGTCTGTGCACACATTTATGCACTATAAGTGCAGATTAGCGGCCGTAACCGAAATGGGTCAGAAGGACATCATAGTATATTAAAACGTATGTATTTATTATTTATTATTATTTAGCCCTTTTTTAACGCTCCCCTACTGCCGGCCAAAGTCCACCACACTCTTTTTTTTAGTGTTAGAAAATGCATTTACGCATACCACCGACATATAGACATTGGGGGAGATAGTCCACCACGCAGCGCTGACCAAATTAAAACGTGATTATTCAACATTACTTTTGGTACTTATTGTTAAGACCGGAGTTAAATTTTATATCGTTCAAAAACTGCTAGATGAACACAAATTGAAAACTTTTTAGCCTTTAATAAAAGTAAAATCCATACGTATAATAAATTTGTAACTAAGCCGAATCTGTGTGTGTAGATATTTTTTGGAAAATCTTATTGAAATAAACATTATTATCGATACAGAGGTCGAATCTATACTTTTTTGAATTTTTGTCTGTCTGTCTGCCTATCTGTCTGTCTGTTACCGCATCGCAAGAAAACTACTGGAAAGATTTTGATGAAATTTTTTATGGTGATAGCTGGTTATCCGGGTCAACAAATAGGATACTTTTTACCGCGAGAAAATATTTCATTTCTGAAAAAAAAGAACAAAAACTGCAATGTAAGACTATACTAATATGTAAAACCTAAGAATTTAGTTTTAGGTCATCTGAACGCGGGCGGAGCCGCGGGCATGGCTAGTATACTAAAATGTTAATAAACGCAAAATATAATGTATTATATACACGTGTTTTCTATATACAATAATTCTGAGCAATCAAACACTTAATGAACAACAAAAAGCATAACATGTTCCTTTTTTGCTTCTATTTTTAGATAATTATTTCAATTTCATCATTATGAGTCTCTTATTATATCTTGACACTATTATATTTCAGATGAATGAATTTAATTAGTAATTATAAAATCATAATATTATATTCAGTAATAACAGCAAGCAAGTAGGTCAACGGTGCTTCGAACGTTACTTACGTTTTGGTGGATTGCGAGAAATTTCGCGAAATTTATATACAAGTTTTTTTGAAAGCTTCAATTATTTAATAATATTTAATATCATCATTTAGATTTTTTATTTATTTTACACTTTATCTTTTATACGATCTGATGTACGAGTGGGTTTGATCTATTAGATATATACGAGGGTACTTTGTTTCTAAAGGGCTATAATAACAAAGAGAGAAATGAAAGCTTTTTTGTTGTGTGTTTAAAGTGCGTCATATATCTTTAATAATGCTAACATATTCATATACTCGTAAATATTATAAATGTATAAGTTTGTGAGTATGGATGTTTGTTACTCTTTCACGCCAGTACGGCTGAACGGATCTGGAATAAAACATAGGCTACTTTTATCCCAGAAAAATACACGGTTCCCGAGGGATAAATTTATTTATTTTTCTCTATGGATGAACCCGAGCGATGCGAGGGTGAGCCGCTAGTATACATATATAATATAAATTTTTACTTCAAGTTTTAGTAGTTTTTCGTAGAAATTCTGAAAAACCACGCTACCACTGCGTCAGACGATAGTCATTAAAATTTTTACGAAATCATTTTTTATTTTTACCAAGAAACGAAACCGACTATTATCGTTTAAATTGCACAGATTTGAATATAATTTTACCCTAGAAGTTGTAAAAAAATACTGCGGCAGTTAACGAATTAGAGATCTGGATTTTAAATCCAATCTTTATATATATAATTCTTCTGTGAGTGTGTATGTCACTGAACTTCTCTCAAACGACTGGACCGATTTTGATGAAATTTTTTGTGTGTGTTCAAGGGGATCTGGGAATGGTTTAGATTCACAATTTGAATAATAATTTTCATCAAAAAAATTATTAAAAAAAGTTTGAAATTTTCAAATTAAAGACGTGTAGACAGGACAACGTCTGTCGGGTCCGCTAGTATCCTATAAATCAAAACGCCTGGAGGCAGTGTCTTTTAATCGATTTAGGGTGCGTCGAGGAAGCGAGTACAAATTCCGATCTCATACCACTGATATTCTTATATGAAAATGATTTCCAACATGATGATTAGCCCTTGTCTTATGGTGAATGAAAATATCATGAGTAAACCTGCATGTCTCAGAAAACCTAGCAAGTTCTCGAAATATATGTGGAGTCCAACCGGCACTTGGCCAGCGTGATGGACTGTGGCCTGATCCCCTTGTATTGATGCGAGGCTCACCCCCAGCAGTGGGACATTATAAAGGGCTGCATATCCGCCCTGGTTCCTGGATTTCACAGAGAAGACCCAGACGTTATTGTCATCATTCTCTTCTTATAATCTCCATTGAACTTCCAATTCCATACTTTTAATCACCTTTAAATATAATTAATTAGTGCTACAATATTATTCAAAATTATCGATTGATACAGCAACAAACGGCACTATCTCGTTATGCAATAGCTCGTTGACTTGTAAAGTTCCGTAGGCAAAATATTTATGGGTTTAACTTATTTTGCCAAAATATATAACTATATTTAAATCCGCTATTTTACAAAATAACTCGACATTGCAATATCTTAAAATCAGATTTGGTGACAGATCCGACTTGGCTTATGGAAGGTGAGAGTTCTAGTCAGATAATATTTTTTCTTAAAGCCAAATGTAAACTCACAGTGGTGTATTTCACAATTCAACGTTTTAAATCTGCCTTCATCATCCATCCATACTAATAATATAAATGCAGTAACTCTGTTTGTTTATTTGTTTGTTACCTTTCAACGACTAAACCGATTAAAATGAAAATTGTTTTGGCGATAGTATAATACCCTAGGAAGGACATAGGATATTTTTTACCCCGGAAATCATTCTTTAAGGTTGTGTACGTTTGTATGGGAATCAATCATTTCTCAAGTAAGGGATATAACATTCTTCATATCTATATACTCGTATATGTATAGTCTATCAATCCGATAGTAACCATCAAAACGTACCTAGAGACGAAGTTGTGTAGTGAGTGCTAGTTTTATATAACAGCAAGTATTTACAAACAGACAGACACGACTTGAGGCATTTTTAAAATGGCGAATTACACGTCATTGGACAGTCGAGGCGAGTCCGAGTGCTGCGGCTGTCAACACTTAATCACATCATATTACGCACTTCCGCCCGCTGAACTAATACCGTGCTATTATCATCCCCATGCAATTAAACTCCGGGGTCATTCACCCACAACCCATATACAATACTATTGTACAGCATTGTGTTACATTATATAACTATTATTGTACAATTACAAGATAACTAGAGTTTTGTTTTACTCTCTCTTAGATTACCTTACATGTAAAACTCCTCATGTTATATTTATTTGATAATAGCAACTTATCCTCGGATACCTAACAGTAGCATGCGAGTGACTCCAAATCATAGTCTACTAAATTGGATGAGAATCCATCTAGCCATTTCAACGTGAAAGCGAAACAAGCATACACACATACAAAAATACAAATATAATAATCGTAGTAGTACTTAAATAAAAATGCTTTACATAAGTCTTCTGTAAATAGTTTTGAATAGTTTTAAAAGATATACTTTCCAATACATCACAATTCAATGCAGTGTAAATGGAAATTCTAACTTATTTCACTTATAAAAACTTGAAAAAAGCCGACTTCCAGGCACTTGAATGTAAAAAAATAACTAAACGGAGGTTTTCATTTAGAATAGATACCTAATCAGAATCGGGTGCACTCTTTACTCCCATAGCTACCATGGGTTGACAATCCAGCACAACCTGAGAGAGATCAGGTGAAAGACTTATGGCTTAATGTACTTTCTAGAATGCGGGCGTGTAACGCCGTTAACTCCACAACTACCCTCTGCTACTGAAATTTCTTAATAAAACAGGCAGTACGTACTCGTATAATTATTGAGCTGATCTATTATTTCCAATCCTTTGGACCCACAGTTGTGTACAGTAAATCATAAAAGGCAAAACGCTTGCAAATAAAAAAATAACAGTCGTAAATTTTAAACATAGTTTAATTTTTTCTAAAAAATTCAACCGAACTATAAATCCCTGTCACATGAAAGCACGGTAATGAATTCGTGGCCATTTCTCAAACCGATGGTGTCCGATAAAGCTTTTATTGCGACGACGATCAATCTTAACGCAAATATGTCACGAGGCTTAGTTCTATTGAATTGGCTGTTGACTGTGATGTCTTGTTTGACAAAAAAAAATTATTTATTATATTATGATTAGATGATATATAGATGAGATTTTTTTTCCCGTAGTAAAAAATATCCTATATGTTGACCTAGATAACCAGCCATCACCATACCAAATTTCATCAAAATCTGTCGAGTGTTTTCTCGTGATACGTTCTCAGACAGACAAACAGACAGACAGCCAGAAAAAAATCTAAAAACTCTAGACTCTGACCCTATCGATATTAATGATATGTATCAATTATAATAATGACTATTTCAATAAGATTTTTCAAAAAATATTTAATATTCAATTAAGTTAGAATTTTATTACGTGTATAGATAATAGAAATAATAAAACTTTAATTATAATATTAAAATTAAGAAAAAATAGTTTTATGAATTATTATTACCAATGTTTAAAGAAAGGACTTTTGTCTGTGTTAAATCAAATCTATACTAATATTATAAATGTGAAAGCTTGTGAGGATGAGTGGATGGATGTTTCTTACACTTTCACGCCAGAACGGCTGAACGGATCTGGATGAAATTTGGCAAAGAGATAGATTATAGTCTGGAATAGCACATAAGTTATTATTAGGTACTTTTTATCACTGAAAAATGTACGGTTCCCGTGGGATAGATTCGTTTTTATCTAGGGACGAACCTGAAGGGAAGCCAGAGTGGGTCGCTAGTTTAATATAATCGATTCAAAATTTACTTTATCCAAGTAAGCCCTTTGTATCCTCAATTTTTAGATTTAAATTAAATGTCAGTATTGTACAATACTGACATTTAATTTAACGAGCACGTCCGTGAGGAGACTGCAACCGGCTCTGAAGGCTTAGCTTAGATTTAGTCCCAAATGTTGGATAAGATATCCTAGCTATATTACCTAGTTATCCCTTAACTTATAATATATATTTATAACGGTACCCCTTAGTGTAAACTAATTATTATCATTACGATAAAAACATTAAAACAAAAAAATGAAGTTAAAGTTTGTATTTAATATTTCAAAATGGGAACAGTTAAATCGACCGAGACTCTTACTGGTTGGCACAATATTATTCGAGCATATCTATTTGGAATAAATAATAAAAATAACTTGCCTATTTATTCCTTAACACAAAGTAGAAGAAGAACAGCTTATGTGATTTTAAAACAGACTTTCCACGGCAAGTAGAGTCGGTTTTGAGACATATACTATCTGTTTCCTCTTTTAAAGTGGTTTTATATATAAAAGGGTATACCCTAATAATATTAAACCAATAATACTTTTTGAAAATGCCATTCCTATGAACCCTATTTGTTTACTCATCTAAAACCAGATCAGCAACATTAAAACAAGTAGATGTGCGTGCTTAGTGAGATTACTTTCGGTTTAGAGAATAAACTCAAGAGGAAGCACTCGGAGCCAGCGCAGTGCGCGACGTCCGGCGTGCGGCGCGGCGCGGGTCCGGCGGGCGAGCGGCCGGTTGGGCGGGCGGCCGGGCCATTGTGAAGTAGGTCAGTCTGTATAACTCCAACCTTGTTAGCTTTGCTGTACGCTCCAAGAGTGCCGCTTTTAGATTAGTTTAGCGATACTTGAAACGAAAACCAACTTCACTATTTATAGCTAAACTCTTTTTGGGCTAAATGATGTTTATTTTTTTACAAGCTTCGCTTCGCCCTTAATACGCTCCAAACCGCTACTATCTTTTGAGGATTAACGGGTAGAAACCGACAAATAGACTGATAGATAAATGTTTAAAGCGATTTTTAGGGTTTTAGTTCTTTTACTGAAATTTCAGACCGACACTACAATTCGGTTTATAATGGCTATAGGAAACAGACTTAAGGTTGTCGTACGTTCGATTATATCACAGAGGAAATATATTTATTGCCTGTAAAAACTAAATAATTCAATCTCGATATTACGACTTTATCCATGAAATACAGCCACTGCTCGATCAGAGGACGAAAAGCATATAAAAAGGTAATTACATATTAATATAATTCTTATATATAAAATTCGTTCTCGTTTTGGATTATCATAAAAGCTCGTACTATGAACACATTCAGTTATTCTGATAAAACAACGCACTAACTACTGTAAGGTTGCATTATGTATTGAGCTATTAAAATAATAGAAAATAATATATTTGATTAATTTGTAATGATTTATGTATAAGGCATTTACTTATGTGACCTTGGCCGATAGGAATGTGCTTTAAAAAAATAAAAAGAGGGCGCGGATTTTCATTTGTGTTCCCGCGCTTTTACACAGAGATGTCGGTACCACCATGTAGGTCACTACGAATTGTTTTGTAATACTGAAAATTATGATTATAAATTATGTAACTCACTGACGATTATAAAAGTACTGAATATAAGAATATAAGCAAGGAATATCTCGAAGATTTATTGGGGACCCTACACTACTTAACTAAATACTTTTATTAAACTACAATGACTTCATTAAAAATTAAACTTGCAGAGACAAAATTCTTGCTTTGTTGATAAAAAATTGTTTAAAAAGGGAGAAAGAGATGAAATTATGATTCCGGCCAGGATCGAACTGGCGGCCTTCTGCGTGTAAAGCAGATGTGATAACCACTACACCACGGAACCGGGTGATAGCACCGCTCAATAAGGGAAACTGTATTACTCAAGCATGGACGAATTAGAGACTGGACCTGACATAAAATACAAATGTATGAAAACTAGTTCAACCAAGTGATGCATAATGCACACAAAGATTTTATTACATTATTATAAACACTGATACACAATACAATATTTATAGTGCTTGAACGTAATCGATAAAATACATATATCGATGAACCAATGAATGAAATTTTAGACATTGGTTAGCATAGACATTATATTTTACATCTTTTAATTTAAAATATCTGTATTTATTATAATACATTAAAATAAATTAATTAAAGAGGCAACAATAATGTGTCAAATAATAATCATTTTTTAATTTGATTTATATAAATACGATGGCATTGATGGCAACATTCTGTTGGCCTATAATAATGTTAATAAACAAATGAATATCGGGTGTATATTCCATTAATATATAATAAATATTATTTTTTAAAGATTAAAAAAATATTAAGCTAATTTAATTAAATAAAGTGATTTTGTTGATTCTGTTATTGAACTATTTTAATTGGCAATTGATTGTCTCGGGTAGTTATAAAAATGTGACACTGTCCTAATATTGCTCAGTTCTTAATAAACATTTATGAAATTAGGAAAAAGAAAAAGTGATTGCAAATTGTGAAAAAGTGAGTGTTGGATCGTGAAAGTAAAATAATTAGTGCAAGTGGTAAACTGTTTTATTACAAATCGCCAACCCAGAAGTTTAGTGCTAGTTTAGTTTATTATTGTTTGATTTTGTGTAATTTATGTATTGAAATAAAATAATCTTTATTATTATTACAATGGAATAATATTCCAAAGTATATAAATGTGGTATAAAATAAAATAAAAAATTAAGTACACATACTAATTATAATTTTTGCATTTATATTTTTATTTGATTTAGAAAATATTTTTATAAATTTATTGTCATCAGATTGTAGGATACTGTGATAAAAGTATTTTATGTTATTGTACTGTACAAATAACACAATTCGTTCAGTTATTTCGTCAAATATCGATATATTTTTCGACATTGTCAAGCACTAGTCGATGTCAAATGGACTCACTCGACAGTTTTGTCATTTGTTCTGAATGATATAATCCAGCCCGTTTATGATGGTTGTCAGATGTCAACAATACATAGAAATATCGACTATATTTAACATAGTTGGATAATATGACATTTTATTTTACATTTAATTAAATTTTGTGATAAATAACAATAAATGTAATAAAATAATGTATTTACAAGTGAAAAAAAATAGTGCTGCTTCCGCCGCTATAATTTTTACACCATTTAACAGAACATTTAGTCATTTTTGGGAGATGTTTTGTTGACAAGTAAGTGCTTGAGACTGACACAAAAAACAAACGACTTAGGCTAAAATTCCCTGGTTACTGACATGACCGTTAAAGGTACGTCCGCTTATATGTCTGGTCCAGTGGTTGATTCGTTCATGTACTCAAGATAGTGAATATTTCGTAGCTGTTAATAGATCTCTTAAATACGTAATTCTTAAAATATGATATCGACATCGCAACACTATTTAGCGCTTTCATTGTCGTCGGAATATAGCACCATTTTAAAATAGACGGTTAAGACTAACAAGTTTTTCAAGATGCTATCGATTCTGTTAATTTGTCTAAACAGTCTATTACATTGCTAGTATTTAATTAAGTTAGTGTAAATGACTGCCACTACTTAGTACCACGTGTACCATTGAGGGCACTGGCGGTACAAACAGTAACTTCTAGTACCCCTAGTACTCTATCAAAGGGTACAAAGTGAAACTAGCCTACTAATAATGTCGATTTAAACTACCGCGTTTTATTGTGGTGTTTCAAAATGTATATACATTATACATATTTAGAAAATCTTTCGCTTAATGTTGATTTATGAACTATTGATTACATATCACTACAACAATAGCTTAGTTGAGTTTTGAATTACATTATTTTAATACAGTAAACCTTATTGTAATATTAATATTTTTATCTATACTAATATTATAAAGAGGTAAAGTTTGTGAATTATGAGTTTGTGACGTTGTAGGGGGTAATCTCTAGATCTACAAAACTGATTTAGAAGAAATTTGGTAAGAGGATAGTTTGAGACCCTGGAAAGGATATAGGATACTTTTTATCCCGGAAATCATTTATCGCAGAAAGGTTTTATTATTTTATTTTAAGTTTATATGTATAACAAAAATGAAAAATTGTTAAAATGTAATAAAAATATTTAGATTTTAAGTATATTGAGCATTTACATGCATGTTATTTGATAGTGATTACTCACTAGTTTTAGAACTGTCAGTTACTGACATAGAAAGTCGTCGTAAATATCCTTGTTTCTCAAACTATCCACAGTTATAACCAGCCGGTTCAAGTATAAAATTTACGAATTTTTGATATAATTTATTCATCCATTTTACGAAGCAAACTCGTATAAATATTCCCTTGAAGAGTACCGACATCTTGCAACAAGAAATGCTAAGAGCGACTGCAGCTTACGTCCTATAAAAACTTTCCCATATAAAACGTAAAAGTTGCTTCAAACGTTTTGTGCAGTAATAAACTTTTACAAGCGCTTTTGAATCGCAAATGTGCTCTAAAGCTTCGGAGGAAATCGACGGAAATGTTATAACTACATGAAAATAGCATATGGATTTTGTAAACCGTATCTACTACTAATTGAACGGCTTATCTTTATTTACATGTAAATATATAATATATATATATATATATATATATATATATATATAATAATATAATATTTTTATATAATTCTTTAGTACGTGCGTATGACTTTAATGTTTTTTTTGTGTTTGAATGGGTCTCTGGACGGTTTAGATTCACAACTGGACCCGGCAGGTGGCGCTGCAGTCGGTTTTTTTTTATTTTTATATACACACGTACAAAACTTTTACATATATGCTTAGTAGTGACAACGTCCATCGGGTCGGCCAGTTCTTATATACCCGTATGGATAGGTACATGGTTCGATATTTCTTAATTTTTACTAAATTTATATACCAACTTCGTGAATCGTACTAACTTTAATCTAAAACAACGATTTAATACAAATTTAGCCAGCCAGTAGAAGTTAAAAATAAAAACAAAATCTGCATATTATTAAAATAAACGAAACACAACAAATAAATCTGTAAAGTAGTTTAAGACAATCCACTGGTGCAAGCCAATCTGACAGTTCGGGGAAAATGCAATTTTCCGAAGGCGAGTAGCGCGTAGTACAAAAGGACTCGGACATCGGAGCTTTCTTAAATTACTGACGTTGATAAATAGAACTTCATGTGATTTATTCTCACGAGCATTTCTCAGAAATTGTTCTGTTGTAAAAGCATTCTCTCGCTTCTCTCATCTGGGTGTGCCATTTGTATTTATAATATTATATACAGGTAGCGCCACCTATGGGCAACTTTTATTACTAAGAATAGAATATCTGTTATTTGAGATCATAGTTAATATACGTACTAAATTCCATCCAAATCCGTCCGAGTCAGCATGATGGAGTAACAAACATACAAACTTTCGCATTTACAAGTGTAGTCCCACTAGCGACCATATTTTCGCTCAGTCCTCAGACGCTGACTACACAATTTACGTATTCCAGGGAAGAATATAATATATTAAACCATCTAGGTGTATGTTTCACTTCTTCTTCAAATAAATACATTTTAAAGACAAACTAATAAATACATTTTAACATTTATAATTTGACTAGCATTACCCGCGGCTCCACCCGCGTTCAGATGACCAAAAACAAATTCTTAGGTTTTACATATTAGTATACTTTTACAGTGCAGTTTTTGTATTTTTTCTCAGAAATTAGACATTTTCCCAAGGTAAAAAGTATTTTTTATGTTGACCCGGAAAACGAGCTATCACCCTACCAAATTTCATCATAATCCCTCCAGTGGTTTTTCTCTGATGTGGTAACAGACAGACAGACAAAAAAAATTTTATTCGGCTTTTGTATCGATAATAATGTCTATTTCAATAAGATTATCCAAAAATTATTTTATGTACAGATTCAACTTACTTAGAATTTTATTATATGTATAGATGTATAATTAGCACTGCTTACTGTGACGCAGGTCGGCGGTTCAATCTTTGACGGTGTTTATCATGCTGTATTCATTGGTAAATGTAGCCCAGAGAAAAGAATAAAAATACTTACATATTAAAATAACTAGATATGCTTGAAAACTAAAAAAACGAATGTCCGCGCCAAGAGCCTGACCAATACCCAAGGCAATTATAACTTATAAAAAGTAATCGTATCAATCATATAGAGCACTTAAAAAAGAGAGAATGTCCAGCAATACTCATTTACGTTTGCGTTAAAGTTGGTGAAATACTATTTCCAAACATTCAACATAACTTTCTTATTTGAATAATGTTACGTTCTGTTTAATTTATATTAAATTAATCATACAACTTAGATCAGATTATAGAAAAATCTATATTTATTACCTGTTTTCGTCTTTTATTTCATTTTAGAATAGACCAAATAATTGATAAATATTGTTATAATTGTACGAATATACGCTTCAAATTCGACAAACAACCTTCTAAGCTCTTTACTAATTTTGAGAGCCTCTCAAGTATTGGATTTACCAAATCTTGCTAACACAAACACTCTAAATATTACCAATTACGAAACACCCATAATAATTCTATAGGATTTATGCCATCTAATAGCTCGACTCGCTATATTTAGAAAAAATTTGACAACGTCAAACCAAAATTTATAGTGTGATTAAAATTTATTTTAAAATATATACGAAAATAACATTAAACTTTAATTAATAGTATAAAAATGTTTTAAAAGACAAAAATATCGAAAGTGTATCATATTACAAGACATAATCAGAGATATATATAAGAGACATATCATAAGACATATTCCGCTATAAACAA